TTTCTTTTTTTTTTTTGGTACCGGGGATCGAACTCGGATCCTTGTGCTTGCGCAGCAGGCAGTGAAACCACTGAGCTAAATCCCCGGCCTATATATATATACTTTTTGAGTTATTGAATGTGGACAGCAATATGCATTACAATCGAAATTAATCTTTAACGTCATTTTGATCAGCTAGCAAGGGGGGGAAAGGAATATTGTTGGGCTCAAACAATTGGACAAATACAAACAAACAAATATAGAAGACAATTTATGAAACTAGAGTGCACTCAAATATGTTTGGCCAGGGCCAAGGATTTAGCTCAGTGGTTCCACCACCTGCCTTGCAAGCACAAGGTCCTGAGTTCGATCCCCAGTACCAAAAAAAAAAGCAGCTGCTCAAAAAACAGTTATTTCTGGTCTTTTTCACTAATGGGAGCCCCAGTAATTTTCATAGCCTTATGGGAATACACACCAATAAACATTGGTTAAAAAAAAATGTTTGCATTGGTTAGCATCAAAGGGATAAGTTCTAAATATGTTGTAATATGTTTACATTGGTCATCTTCAAACAAATTTTTGATGGGAAAAGACAAGCTGTTATTAAAAAGATACTTTTGGTACCACACTACTTTATAAGACATAGGTTTCATATAATTGTAATAATTATTATTGCTACTTTTCTGGTGTACATAATGCATTCCTGTCTTCTGACTGTGCAGATCTTCCAACATACTGTTTATGGCAATAACCTCCTTTTGATCCAGGTATTTGCTGTTCTCTTACACTCCAGCTACTCACGATAACGGGTACATTTATAGGCCCATACATTTTCCTTAGATGGCATCCTATTAAAAAGTAATAACTTAAATAAGTTTCCTGTTTTTTGTGTGTTTTTAGAAGGGAGCAAATGTGGTTAACTGGCTATTTTACACCACTAAGACACACATTTAAGTGTGTTATGAAGATAATGTCATCATGATTGTCATGCTAAAGTACCATGTGCAGCTCTTGATCTTCAGTTTTTCTATATAATGTATAACTGCTGTCTGTTAACATTCTACAGGGGATTCAACTACTAAAACAACCATGGTTGATAAGAAATAACAGCCCGCTAACTGTGCTTTATTCTTCAAAAGTGCTTGATGTTTTAACTATTATAATAGTTAAGCTCACTGCTCCTACTGAAATACTTGTGTCACTGATCTTCTCTTCTGGGTGTTCAACAAGTAAAGTTTGGAGACCAAAACTAATAAAGTTACTGGGCTAAAGGAACAGCCAGTATTTTGGCCCTGGCATCTCAAGGTCAACAAAGATCCAGGACACAAAGGAACCTTTCCTATACAATCCTACATCTTTGGTAAGTCACTCAACCTCCTGAACAGGGAGATTGCTGGGCACCAGAGGACAAATGTACCACATGCTAAAGGAGGGTCACAGAGAGACAAGTTTCCCATGCTGCCACTGAAAGCACTATGGTCAGACCAGACCATGACCCATCCTGATGGCTGACATTATCAGAGGAGCTGAAAGGCACTATACATGGTTCCAAAATAATGCCTGAGGAGACTTAACTGACCTTGATAAATGACAAAAGGCTCATACTGATTGACACAGGTCTCATTTTTGCTTGGTCTTAAACACCCAGCAGAAAAGAGTAACCAAAAGAGGTATAAAATAATGCCATAGTAATAAAGCTAGGTATAAAAAGGGATGCCAATCGCTGACCCCTTCTGGCAGTTTCCAGCTACACAAGTAGCTGACCATGGTTGTGGATAATTAGAAAAAACTATGGTAAAATCTATAAAAGCTCTAGAGTTTCAAATTATCTCTATCTTATAGCTAAGACTGGAGAGACTTATGACAAAATATCAGATAACCTCCATCAATAAAAGTTTCAGTACAAACAGGTTACAATCACTATTTCAGTTTCTGTGACTCTTTCTCCAACCTGCCTTTCCATTCTAGTGCTCATGCTTGGATTATACATGGTCTAATTTCTTGTTTATTCTTGCCTAGAGGCTGCCAAACTCCAAATGGTCACACAAATGAAACCAAAGACAAATGTGCTAGACTTCTTTTACCAATATCCACCAGATTGACCTTGTAAAAAGTTCCTAACTGCTAAACTACAATACACCTTCTATGTTGGATTCTAAAATCCCTTGGACCAGACCTTCTCCTTACTCTCTTTGTGGAAGGCTATTACTAATTCTTCCTGGCGAAAACACTTGTTGGCTGTATCCAGTCTCTTTGTGGAGAAGTCCCAGACTGACCAGCCAGCGTCATTGGTTGATCATAGTTTTGTCCCACCTTGAACCCGCCTCACCTCTTGACTTTGTCCCATAAAAACACCTTTGAGAAGGAATGTCAGTTGCCAACATACTTTCTGGTCTCCCTTCTGTCTCTCTTAGACAGAACCTATCTTTTTCGCAATAAATTTTTTCTACTCTTAACCTCAGTTGTTCCTAGAATTCATTCTT